AAAGCTAATGAGACTGAAGTGCAGTGCATCAAATCCCTTCTAGATAGATATGAAGCCTTAACTGGTCAGTTTATTAACTTTAACAAATCATGTTTGTATATATCTCCTAATTCTCCCTCCAATCTTAAAGCTTGGTGCAGACATATTTTGGGCTTCCACAATGTTGATTGGTGTTATAATTATCTTGGTTTGCTATCTCTTATGGGTCAATCTAAGATTGCTGCACTCAACTTCATTTCAAAGAAAGTTTCTTCAAAAACTACGATGCTCAAAGGCAAATTGTTATCTAAGGCGGGCAGGGAAGTGATGGTCAAAACAGTTCTTTCTGTAATCCCAATGTTTCCCATGCACTGCTTCAAACTCCCCAAACATAACTGCCAAAAGCTGAGAAGTAATCTCTTTAACTTTTGGTGGAGTGGAGAAGAAAAATCAAATAAAATCAAATGGATCAGCTGAGACAATCTCTGCAAGTTTAAGGTTGATGGTGGGCTTGGCTTCAAGAATGTGGAAGCTTTCAACCTAGCTTTTCTTGCAAAGCTTGTATGGAGGATGGAGATAGGTGATGATTCTTTGTTTTTTAAATCCTTTAAATCAAAATATTTCAAAAATTGTACTTTTGTTGATGCCCCAAACAAATTTGGCGCTTCCTTGGTTTGGAATAGTATTCTTTTGGCCAAAATAGTTATTAAAAGAGGAATGAAATGGCGTATTGACAACGGTTCCATGACTAATTATTGGAAAGATAACTGTCAAATTTCTTCGTAACCTCTTCAAATTCTAGGGCCAATTTGTCCTCTGTTGCTGATTTGATTAACCACTCCTCCCACAAGTGGAACTTTTCATTAGTAAATCAAATTTTCAACCATTGTGATCGGTCTCTTATTTCACAAATCCTTTTAAGCTCTATAAGGGAAGTTGATCGCAAAGTCTGGGGTGCTTCTAAGGATGGCAGGTTCTCAGTTAAAAGTGCCTATCATATTACTCTCTCTATCCTCTTTCCTTCGACTCGATCTGTCCATAATGAAAGTTGTAACTTTGATAATGTCAAAAGCAATATGTGAAAATAGGTGTGGACCATACGCATTCATAGAAAAGTTCAATTATTTTTGTGGCAAAGTCTCTATGAGCGAATTCCCATAAATAATCTGCTATTTTTACGTGGAGCATCTGAGATTATTACCTGTCCTTTCTGTGAATTTGTTGTTGAGACAGTTGATCATGCCTTCTGTAATACCCCTAATTTTAAAAAGGATATTCCTGGTATTTAATGGTATTTAATTTATTATTTAAGTGCATTTTATTTGATTATGTGTCATTATTTTTTTTTATTAGGTGCTTAATTGTTTTCTTTTGTGGTGATTTAATTTATTTAAATGATATTTATTTTTAGTTATTTGATTGGAATTACTTGTTAGTGTTTTAATTATTTAATTGGCATTAACGGTTTAAGTGTAATTGGTTTAATTATTCTATGTGTGTCTTATTTTATGTGTGCCTTATTTGGTTTAATTGGGTTTACTAACTATTATTTTGTTCCATTAGATTATTTGTTAAGTATTTAATGGTGAATAGGATAATTAGATAAATACATGTAACTAGGGTTTTAATTACAGTATAAATTAGGGTTTTATATTATAACTGTCGTAGGTTTTTACGTTAATTGGATGGGCCGGTTAGGATTGTGAGTTGGACTTAAATGAACTTAGGGTTTAGGAAAACTCTATAAGTATAAGGTAGACGTCTGTGTAGGGTTTTTTTTAAACAAAGCACACGTTTTGTGGAAGTGGAGAAGGAAAAACGCAGTTTTTCACATTCTGCCAAGGTTTGATCAAACATCCGATCCCGCTTCGTCCATCGTCCGATCGAGCTGAAATTTGGAGGAGAGGTTCACGACTCAGTGACGCACAATCTAACGGTGGAGATCAGAGTTTGACCTCGGGAACAGTGTTTCGTACTCGTGAACAGTAACCGGGTCGCACAGGTTTTTTTCCATTCTGCCCAGATTTCATCAAACATCCGATCCTGCTTCGTCCGTGGTCCGATCGAGTTAAAATTTGGAGGAGAGGTTCATGACTCAGTGATGCATAATCTGAACGGTGGAGATCAGAGTTTGACCTCGGGAACAGTGATTCGTACTCGTGAACAGTAACCGGGTCGCACAGGTTTTTTTCCATTCTGCCCATATTTCATCAAACATCCGATCCTGCTTCGTCCGTGGTCCGATCGAGCTGAAATTTAGAGAATAGGTTCATGACTCAATGTCGCACAATCTGAACGGTGGAGATTAGATTTTGAGTTCGGGAATAGTGTTTCGTACCCATGAACAGTAACCGGGTTTTGGAACTCGCCGAGATTTTTTAAGAAGAAGACGTTGAAACTTTGAACAAAAGTTTCTGAGGCAAGATTCTATCCTTACTCTTTCCCTTAGGCTTCATACTCTTTGCATTCTTAAATGATTTCAGGATTAATGAAGATTAAACCAAACTAAAATGATATCTGTTTTGCTATGAAACTGGTAGTTACAGTAGTGTTGTATGTTTGTTCAACCTAGACTAAGCATGTTTGTGGATGCATTGTGGTTCACGCTTTTCCTTACCACTGCTAGTATAAATTATTGGAAGGATGGGTCTAGATAATAGCTATCTTAACTTCTGTAATAGCAACTGTTGGAACTTAAATACAAGGAGGATTTTAGTTTAACACTAGATCGGTTTTGTGGAATACTATAATTTGAGCATGTCTACATACATACTGTGAATATTGTTATGATGCTTACATTATCACAGTTAGTATCAACTGTGGAGGTTAGGATTTTGTGATACATACCCTACATATCTGTATGTCATTTGTAAGGTGTTAAATGGAAGTTTTAATTAATTCTGTCTTTATATCAGACTAAAGGGAACAACTTAAATTGGGCATGTATATGTTGTTGTTGTGACCCTGTTTATCAATGCTTATTTTATCACTGCTAACATTGAATGTTGGATGTTGGAATTTAGTTGATATATACTTGATTTATTGGTATTATTGACTACTGGAGGATTGGAAAGTAGACACCGGTATGGGACGGTGGCATACTAAGGATGGGTTTGGTTTTTAAAACAATACCATTACCCACCTACTTGGAATAAGGATGGGATTAACTAAAAGTTAAGTCCCGTGGATTTGTATTGTCATGGCAACTACTTGTTGAGCGGCAATACCAGGGATTTTGGATGGATTTTATATATGTACTGTTATGGTGCCTCGGTATGAGCTTGAGCCTCAGGACCGATGGCTAGGGAGCGTATATGCATCGGGATGTGTAGCTGGCTACGATGGTTAGAGGTGTACCCTGTTTAGGTATAGGTACATATGCCCACTTCGTGTGCGTTTTATCATGTTACCTCTATTGAGGTTGAAACCGGCCTGTAGTCCAGTGAGAGTCCTTTAGTGTGACTATATATATATATTTACGGACTATTAGTTATTGTTGAGTTGTTTAGGATGTACATGCGTATCGGACCTCTGTTTGGATTGTAATAGTATAGAACTTGCGCGTGGGCCTGACCCACTTTTATTTTTCAGGTACACGACAGTTCCAGGCTTAGACGTGTTCGTGCTGAGCAGAGGTCTCTATTCACTCTTCCGATGATGTAGGGCTCTATTTATAGTTTTATTTCTGGACGTTTATTACAGTTGTTCTATCTTCCGTTTGGATGTTTAATAGGGGTCCACTAGAGATGGATTCCCAAGTTGTAAACTGATGGAGTTTTGGAGTTTGGGTTTGATGGATTTTAATAATTATAATATTTTGCGGATTCTATTTTTAGTTCCTTCCAGCTTTAATTTCATTTCTTAATTTATTTTGTATTCCGTGTTCATTATAAAATATTAATTGTTTGATATTCCCTCGGGTTTGGGCCTGGGCCTGATCAACCCGTGTCTCGGATCCGAGGGGTATCTCAGTTGGTATCAGAGCACTCCAGGTTCAAGTGTCTCTAGGATGTTTTCGTATTAAGTCTTCCGCGTAGCGTTTTCTCTTGAATAGAACTTAAGTTAGGATTCATTGTATTCCTTATGGTTCGTATAGAAAGGGTACTGACGTCTGTCTTTTCGTGTTAACAGATGGTTAACGCTAGAAATGGACAGAACATGCAACGAACTAGGAAGGAAAGGAGAACGGCACGTAGGCAACAATATCTCCTACGGCGTCAGCAAATAGAGGAAGAGCAGCAAAGACTTGGGTTTCAAGATGACATGGATCAGTTTCAGGAGGAACAGGAGAATGTTCAACAGACTCTGGACCAGGTCAGAGATCCAGAGATTCCTCCTCACCTCAATGACCTCGTTGCTCGGGCTATAGAGGCTGGGGTAACAGCTGCACTTCAGAATTAGCCTCAGGTACAGTCGGCACCTGTACCAGCACCAGTGGTTCAGACGGATTCTTGGGGAAAGGCTAGGAGTTCTTTCACAAAGGGGAGTCCACCTGTGTTCTCAGGCTCAACCGATGCGTGAGCAGCTCACCAGTGGAAACAGAACATTGAGCGTCATCTTCGTTTGGTTCAGTGCACGGAGGTTCAAAAGCAGATGCTTGCTACTTTCAAGCTAGTTGGGGATGCACTACAGTGGTGGGAGTAAGTTACCTCCTCAGAGGAGAGGATGACATTGTCTTATGATGAGTTCAGTGCTCGCTTTGATGAGAAATATTTTCCCTATGCAGTCAGGGCAGCTATGAAGACCGAGTTTCTAAGTCTGCAGCAGGGAAACATGACAGTGGCGGAGTATGAGCAGCAGTTCACACGCTTGTCTCTCTTTGCACCGGAGGAGGTGGATACAGAAGAGAAGAAGCGCAACAGTTTTGTCAAGGGACTGATGTTGTGATACCCCTCGGATCCGAGACACGGGTTGATCAGGCCCAGGCCCAAACCCGAGGGAGTATCAAACAATTAATATTTTATAGCGAACACAGAATACAAAATGACTTAAGAAATGAAAGTTTAAAGCTGAAAAGAAACTAAAAGATAATCCTTAAATAATTAAATACTTAAATTTGATAAACCAAATATCCATAATTTGAACAACTCGGGAATCCATCTCTAGTGGACCCCTAATAAAAGTCTCACACTAAATGAAAGTAAAATAAAAGATAAAACCCAAATCCAAGATCTGGAAAGAAACCCTACATCTTCGGTAGAATGGAAGATCGTCTCTGCTCTGCACGAACAAGCTCAAGCCTGGAACTGACGTACACCTGAAAAATAGGAGTGGGTCAGGCCCACGAACAAGTTCTAACCTACTACAATCCAAGCAGAGACTCGATACGCATGTACATACTAAATAGTTCAACAATAACTAATAATCCGTACATAAATATATCCACACTACTGGACTCTCGCTAGGCCATGAAGGGGGTCTCAACCTGGATAGAAGGCATCACACAATACGCACCTGAGTGGGTATGAGTACCTAAACCTAAACAGGGTATACCTCAACCTTCACAGTCAGCTACACATCCAACTGCATATACGCACCCTAACCGTCGACCCTGAGACTCAAGCTCATGACACGGTAACATAAAAATATATCTAAACTCCGTTCCTATCCATCCACCAGAAATCCAGTAAGTCACTCGGCGTAGTCAACCGTACCGACTTATATATATAAGGAGGATTGTAGTTTATAACCCGTGCCCTTACTCCAAAATAGGTAGGACTTAGCAATTTGAGCTAATCCAACCCAGTATGTCACCGTCCCATACCGGTACATACAATCCAATCCGTCCAATAGTTGATAAAGCATCGATAATTATAACAACAATATCAACAATTCCATACTAAACATAATAGAATGCATTAGCAACCATTCTTAAAAATACCAATAATTGATTCACATTGAAAATATAAATATCAATGTCAACTACTCCTTACTATGCATATTGAAATAGATAATCAACATGCTTATTTACATGCACAGTTGACAAAATAATGACCATATAAATGTCAATACCAACAGTCCAAACTAAACATGTTAGAACAGATTAACAAACATGCTTAAGTAAGCCAATTCAGAATCCATAATTTGATCATACAGGGCTTTCTTTATAATGATAACCTATTCCCAGTTTCCATAGAATTAACAGAGCCTAAATAGATATTTTCCCACTCACATCCATAGCATGTAGAATAAATATAAGTAATCTATTATACTTATAGTTTCCTGTCCAACAACTTGCCGCACCAACCGTTAAACTTAATCATCAACTAATTTTCAGTGAAATATAAATTTTTAGCATAGTTTCTATTGTCATGAACATATAATTCGAGTGGACAAGCCCTCACAGAAAATTTCTAATATAATTAAGAAATTAGAAACTCCAAATCTACACAGTCTACAAGACCTTCGTAATTAACTCCATGTAATCCTAATGGTTAACGCTTTGTGTCCAATTTTATATAATCTGGTCTTTGCATATTTATGTTTACCCTGGACCACTCCTAAATCACCCATTACAGTATTCATTCACCAATAAACACATTAAAACAATCACTAGGAAGCCTAATCACTGAAAAAAATTTGGAAAAACAACCCACAGAATCAAAACTCACGCATAAACAACCGGGAGCCGGCTCCAGAATATTGGAGCCGCCTCCAATGGCCCTGGAGCCGGCTCCTAGACCATTGGAGCCGCCTCCAGTCCAAGGGGAGCCGGCTCCAATCCAATAGGAGCCGGCTCTCCCCCTCCTCTTCTTCGTGTTCTCCTCTCCGGTCGCCGTTTACGCCTCCGACACTTCACAGTAGAAGGTTTCAGAGAGTTTCAATTAATCCTAGAAGATTCCAGTCCTTAACTCAGTCCTTATTATGCTACTAACATGGATTAAACCAAGAATTAAATAAGATAGTTCAAAGTTAAACAGTTTACAAGTTTTAAACCAAATTCAGTTTCAGTTACACTCTAAGCATGACACAGACAACGTCTTTTATTTTTAAACCTGTAATTCATCCTGGAACCATTGAGTATGCAAAGAACACGAGTATAAGGGAGAGAGTAAGGTTAGAACTTGCCTTTTGAGATTTTGTTAAAATCTCTACGTTGTCTTCTACAATCTCCGGCGACTCCTACTGCAACTTCCTCCGTTCCTCGTTTCTAATTCCACAGACGTGTTTTGGTTGTATTATTTTGTTCCCTAAGCAGACTTTTCTTATGTATTTATAGGCAACCAAAACCCTAAGTCCAATTATACCTACCGTCTGAAACGAGGCCCATAAACTCAACCTAGGTTATAAACCTTGTCGGCTCCTTAAATAAACCTAAACCTAAACAGAACTAAAACCCTAACCACACTTTTATACCTAGTCACAAATTAAAACATGTAATTACTAAGTCAACAATAAAAATTCCAAGTTAACTACTAATTCAATTAAAGAAACAAATAAAAATTCAAGTTAACCGTAAAACAGAAAATAACATACAATTTACAGAGAATTTAAAGCCAAATAAATAATTAAAACAATTAACTTAAATAACACAAATAAGTCAACTAAATCAAATCATTAAAAAGTCAATTAAAACACAATTCAAAACAATTAATGAACCAAAAATAATGAATAATGAACCAAAAATAATGAATAATGAACCAAAAATAATTAATAAACAGAAAACAATTAAACAAATTACCGAGACTATCCTTTTAAAATTAGGGGTATTACATTCTTCCCCCCTAACAAAAGGAATTCCGTCCTCGGAATTCGCTCTTACCTTCTTCCAAAATTTCAGGAAACTGCGAGCGAATGACATCTTCCCGTTCCCAAGTAGACTCAGCCTCATTGTGATGACTCCACTGAACACGAACCAAAGGAATAACCTTATTACGAAGAATCTGATCTCGTCGGTCGACAATACGACACGGTGGCTCTAAATAAGTTACATCCGGTTGCAACTCAATTTCCCCAACATCGATATGCTGATATCGATCCTCATCTCGCAGAAATTTCCGCAACATGGAAACATGAAACACGTTGTGAACGCGATCCAAAGTATCCGGGAGTGCCAACCGATAAGCGACAGCTCCAACGCGATCCGTAATCATGAATGGACCGACAAACCGCGGAGACAACTTCCCTTTCTTCCCAAAACGCATAACACCCTTCATAGGAGATACTTTAAGAAGAACCTGATCCCCAACCTGAAACTCCAAAGCACGAGTGCGACGATCAGCATAGCTCTTCTGCCTACTTTGGGCAGTACGCATGCGATCTCGAATAAGAGCAATCTTTTCAGAGGTATCCGTGATGAACTCAGGACCTAAGAATCGATTCTCTCCAACCTCCATCCAACAAACAGGTGATCGACACGGTCGACCGTATAACGCCTTAAAAGGTGCCATCCCAATAGTCTTCTGGAAACTATTGTTATAAGCAAACTCCACAAGTGGCAAATATTCCTCCCAGTGGCCCTTGAAATCCAGAACACACGACCGAAGCATATCTTCCATAATCTGATTCACCCTCTCAGTCTGTCCGTCAATCTGAGGATGGTAAGCAGTACTAAGGTGTAACTCCGTACCTAAAGCCTGCTGAAAACTCTTCCAAAATCCAGATACAAAGCTCGAATCCCTGTCCGATATAATAGACAATGGAATGCCATGTAGCTTCACAATCTCTGAAATGTAAAGCCTCGCCAACTGCTCCGAAGTGTAGTCAGTGCAAATAGGCAAGAAATGAGCTGACTTGGTCAACCTATCCACAATGACCCATATGGAATTATGCCCCTTGAAAGAATTTGGCAACCCTTCCACAAAATCCATAGATATGCTCTCCCATTTCCACTCCGGAATTTGTAGTGACTGTAGAGCTCCTGGCGGCCTCTGATGATCAATCTTAACCATCTGACAAGTACTACACTGAGAAACAAAAAGAGCAATGTCCCTCTTCATACCTGCCCACCAAAACTGCCGCTTCATATCTTGATACATCTTATCGCCTCCTGGATGAACAGAGAACTCAGAGTGATGAGTCTCAGTCATCACATCCTTCCTCAAATTATCAGCAGAAGGTACCACTAACCGTCCCTTGTACCTTAAACCTCCATCAGCCCCAACATGGTAGAATGGAACCTCTCCGGAAGCTATCTCTGTGACCTTGTCGACACATTGCTGATCAGTGAGTTGTGCTTGTAAAATCTTGCGAATGATGGAAGGTGTAACCACCATGCAAGCCATAAAAGCATCTGACAACTCATCTACATTCTTCAAAGCATTCCACTCAGTAGTGAATAGAGCAGAAAGACTACCAACGGGTCGGCGACTGAGTGCATCCGCCACCACATTCGCTTTCCCTGGATGGTACTGTATAGAGAAATGATAGTCTTTTACAAACTCCAACCATCTGCGCTGTCTCATATTCAGCTCCCGCTGAGTGAACAAGTACTACAGACTCTTGTGATCACTGAATAATCTGAAAGACTCACCCAACAGATAATGCCTCCAAATACGCAAGGCAAAGACCACTGCTGCCAATTCCAAATCATGTGTCGGATAATTAAGCTCATGAGGCTTAAGTTTCCGAGATCCATAAGAAATTGGTCGCTCCTCCTGCATCAATACACATCCAAGATCCTGCAACGATGCATCCGTGTAAACAAGATACTCTATCCCGCTTTGCGGAGTAGCCAGAACCGGTGCAGAAGTCAACTTCCTTTTCAGCTCATCAAAAGCCCGCTGACAGTGCTCATCCCACACGAACTGTACACCCTTCTTGGTCAGATGAGTGAGTGGTCCTGCTATCTTGGAGAACCCCTGGATGAATCTCCTGTAATATCCTGCCAGACCGAGAAAACTCCGAATCTCTGTAGGTGATGTAGGCTGTCCCCACTCAACCACCGCCGAAACCTTGGCCGGATCCACTGCGATCCCCTTTTCTGACACCACGTGACCCAGAAATTTCACCTCCCGCTGCCAAAATTCACACTTCCCGAACTTGGCATACAACTGGTGTTCACGAAGCGTCTGCAAGACTATGCGAAGATGTCTAGCATGATCGTCCTCCGACCGAGAATAGATCAAGATGTCATCAATAAAGACAATAACAAATTGATCCAAATAAGCCCGGAAGACTCTATTCATTAAGTCCATGAACACTGCAGGTGCATTAGTCGTCCCAAACGGCATAACACGAAACTCATAAGAACCATATCTCGTGAGAAACGCTGTCTTAGGAACATCCTGCTCCCTAACCCTCAGCTGATGATACCCAGAACGCAGATCAATTTTGGAGAAGTATGTGGCTCCCTTTAACTGATCAAACAAGTCATCAATCCTTGGCAAAAGATACTTGTTACGAATCGTAACCTTGTTCAACTCCCTGTAATCTATACATAGACGAAGCGAACCATCCTTCTTCTTCACAAACAGAACCGGTGCTCCCCAAGGTGATGTACTCCTACGAATAAAACCCTGGCTGAGTAACTGCTGAATCTGATCCCTCAGCTCTCTCATCTCCACCGGTGCCATCCTATAGGGTGCCCTAGCAATAGGCGCAGTGCCTGGAGCTAGGTCTATCACAAAATCGATCTCGCGACTAGGTGGCAACCCTGGAATCTCCTGAAATACATCCGGGAAATCCTGTACAATTGGTATGTTATCCAATGACACAGTAATCCCCTCATCCTTTTCCTCCTCCACATGGAACAAATAGGTGCTACCGCCTCCTTTAGAACGTGGCATAACTACTACGTACATATCCTGACCAGGTATGGTAAAAATAATAGATCTATCAAAACAATCAACTTGGGCATGGTGGTGAGACAACCAATCCATCCCAAGTATCACGTCATAAGTGTGCATGTCCAGGACCAATAGATTGGCTAGAAATCTGAGTCTGCCAATATCTAGTGTCACAGGCCCATCACTCTCATATATAATAGCTGTATCACCCAATGGTGTAGAAATACCCTGAGGTCTAGTGCATACCCTCGTCCTTATCCCAGATAAAGCAACAAAAGTCCTAGCTACAAATGAGTGTGTAGCACCCGTATCAAATAAAACACGTCCATGTAAACCATGAATAGGAAACTTACCCTCAATAGTCTGAGGTGCCTGAACATCCTGTGGCTTGGGGTTATACACCCTGCCATAATACAACTGCTGTGGCGCCTGTCCCTGAGTTTGCGGCGGTGCCGGTAAAGCCAGATGTGTCTGTCCCTGAATTCGTGGAACCTGTGGAGCTGGTAGAGGCACTGGCGCCCTCTGTCCCTGCTGCACATACTGTCCATGTCCCTGTCCCTGTCCTGCTTTAGGACACTGCCTGGTGGTATGACCATACTCTCCACAAGTGTAACAACTACCCTGGAAAGTACCAAATGGCCTCCTCTGTCGGTTAGCCTGTGGCTGACCCTGTCCTGCCTGTGGTCCCCCATTCTGTTGCCTCTGAATAGGTGCCCCATTCCGATGAGCATCTGAACCACCCTTGTGCTTCTTCCAAGGCTGTTGCCCTTGAAACTTGCCTTTGTCATTCTGCCGGTGACCATTGCCATTCCCCTTTTCAGCTGACTGATTAGTAGAGTCTTTATCTCCTCGCTTCTCACCACGAGCCTGTCTGATGTCCACAGTCAACTGATACTGTTGCAGAGCAGCGTCTACCACCTGAGCATAGGTAGTATAGGCTGGACTACCTGTAATAGCTCTCTTGATAGACCACATCAGTCCTTTGACAAAACTGTTGCGCTTCTTTTCCTCTGTATCCACCTCCTCCGGTGCAAAGAGAGACAAGCGTGTGAACTGCTGCTCATACTCCGCCACTGTCATGTTTCCCTGCTGCAGACTTAGAAACTCGGTCTTCATAGCTGCCCTGACTGCATAGGGAAAATATTTCTCATCAAAGCGAGCACTGAACTCATCATAAGACAATGTCATCCTCTCATCTGAGGTGGTAACTGACTCCCACCACTGTAGTGCATCCTCAACTAACTTGAAAATAGCAAGCATCTGTTTCTGAACCTCCGTGCACTGAACCAAACGAAGATGACGCTCAATGTCCTGTTTCCACTGGTGAGCTGCTCTCGCATCGGTTGAGCCTGAGAACACAGGTGGACTCCCCTTTGTGAAAGCGCCCCTAGCCTTTCCCCAAGAATCCGTCTGAACCACTGGTGCTGGTACAGGTGCCTGCTGAACCTGTGGTTGGTTTCGGAGTGCAGCTGTTACCCCAGCCTCTATAGCCCGAGCAACGAGGTCATTGAGGTGAGGAGGAATCTCTGGATCTCTGTCCCGACCCTGAGTCTGTTGAACTTCCTCCTGCTCCTCCTGAAACCCTGGCATTTGCTGTTCTTCTTCCATTTGCTGACGCTGTAGGAGATATTGTTGCCTACGTGCCGCTCTCCTTTCCTTCCTAGTTCCTTGCATGTTCTGTCCATTTCTAGCGTTAACCATCTGTTAACACGAAAAGACAGACATCAGTACTATTTCTATACGAACCATAAGGAATACAATGAATCCTAACTTAAGCTCTATTCAAGAGAACGCTACGCGGAAGACTTAATACGAAAACATCCTAGAGACACTTGAACCTGGAGTGCTCTGATACCAACTGTGATACCCCTCGGATCCGAGACACGGGTTGATCAGGCCCAGGCCCAAACCCGAGGGAGTATCAAACAATTAATATTTTATAGCGAACACAGAATACAAAATGACTTAAGAAATGAAAGTTTAAAGCTGAAAAGAAACTAAAAGATAATCCTTAAATAATTAAATACTTAAATTTGATAAACCAAATATCCATAATTTGAACAACTCGGGAATCCATCTCTAGTGGACCCCTAATAAAAGTCTCACACTAAATGAAAGTAAAATAAAAGATAAAACCCAAATCCAAGATCTGGAAAGAAACCCTACATCTTCGGTAGAATGGAAGATCGTCTCTGCTCTGCACGAACAAGCTCAAGCCTGGAACTGACGTACACCTGAAAAATAGGAGTGGGTCAGGCCCACGAACAAGTTCTAACCTACTACAATCCAAGCAGAGACTCGATACGCATGTACATACTAAATAGTTCAACAATAACTAATAATCCGTACATAAATATATCCACACTACTGGACTCTCGCTAGGCCATGAAGGGGGTCTCAACCTGGATAGAAGGCATCACACAATACGCACCTGAGTGGGTATGAGTACCTAAACCTAAACAGGGTATACCTCAACCTTCACAGTCAGCTACACATCCAACTGCATATACGCACCCTAACCGTCGACCCTGAGACTCAAGCTCATGACACGGTAACATAAAAATATATCTAAACTCCGTTCCTATCCATCCACCAGAAATCCAGTAAGTCACTCGGCGTAGTCAACCGTACCGACTTATATATATAAGGAGGATTGTAGTTTATAACCCGTGCCCTTACTCCAAAATAGGTAGGACTTAGCAATTTGAGCTAATCCAACCCAGTATGTCACCGTCCCATACCGGTACATACAATCCAATCCGTCCAATAGTTGATAAAGCATCGATAATTATAACAACAATATCAACAATTCCATACTAAACATAATAGAATGCATTAGCAACCATTCTTAAAAATACCAATAATTGATTCACATTGAAAATATAAATATCAATGTCAACTACTCCTTACTATGCATATTGAAATAGATAATCAACATGCTTATTTACATGCACAGTTGACAAAATAATGACCATATAAATGTCAATACCAATAGTCCAAACTAAACATGTTAGAACAGATTAACAAACATGCTTAAGTAAGCCAATTCAGAATCCATAATTTGATCATACAGGGCTTTCTTTATAATGATAACCTATTCCCAGTTTCCATAGAATTAACAGAGCCTAAATAGATATTTTCCCACTCACATCCATAGCATGCAGAATAAATATAAGTAATCTATTATACTTATAGTTTCCTGTCCAACAACTTGCCGCACCAACCGTTAAACTTAATCATCAACTAATTTTCAGTGAAATATAAATTTTTAGCATAGTTTCTATTGTCATGAACATATAATTCGAGTGGACAAGCCCTCACAGAAAATTTCTAATATAATTAAGAAATTAGAAACTCCAAATCTACACAGTCTACAAGACCTTCGTAATTAACTCCATGTAATCCTAATGGTTAACGCTTTGTGTCCAATTTTATATAATCTGGTCTTTGCATATTTATGTTTACCCTGGACCACTCCTAAATCACCCATTACAGTATTCATTCACCAATAAACACATTAAAACAATCACTAGGAAGCCTAATCACTGAAAAAAAATTTGGAAAAATAACCCACAGAATCAAAACTCACGCATAAACAACCGGGAGCCGGCTCCAGAATATTGGAGCCGCCTCCAATGGCCCTGGAGCCGGCTCCTAGACCATTGGAGCCGCCTCTAGTCCAAGGGGAGCCGGCTCCAATCCAATAGGAGCCGGCTCTCCCCCTCCTCTTCTTCATGTTCTCCTCTCCGGTCGCCGTTTACGCCTCCGACACTTCACAGTAGAAGGTTTCAGAGAGTTTCAATTAATCCTAGAAGATTCCAGTCCTTAACTCAGTCCTTATTATGCTACTAACATGGATTAAACCAAGAATTAAATAAGACAGTTCAAAGTTAAACAGTTTACAAGTTTTAAACCAAATTCAGTTTCAGTTACACTCTAAGCATGACACAGACAACGTCTTTTATTTTTAAACCTGTAATTCATCCTGGAACCATTGAGTATGCAAAGAACACGAGTATAAGGGAGAGAGTAAGGTTAGAACTTGCCTTTTGAGATTTTGTTAAAATCTCTACGTTGTCTTCTACAATCTCCGGCGACTCCTACTGCAACTTCCTCCGTTCCTCGTTTCTAATTCCACAGACGTGTTTTGGTTGTATTATTTTGTTCCCTAAGCAGACTTTTCTTATGTATTTATAGGCAACCAAAACCCTAAGTCCAATTATACCTACCGTCTGAAACGAGGCCCATAAACTCAACCTAGGTTATAAACCTTGTCGGCTCCTTAAATAAACCTAAACCTAAACAGAACTAAAACCCTAACCACACTTTTATACCTAGTCACAAATTAAAACATGTAATTACTAAGTCAACAATAAAAATTCCAAGTTAACTACTAATTCAATTAAAGAAACAAATAAAAATTCAAGTTAACCGTAAAACAGAAAATAACATACAATTTACAGAGAATTTAAAGCCAAATAAATAATTAAAACAATTAACTTAAATAACACAAATAAGTCAACTAAATCAAATCATTAAAAAGTCAATTAAAACACAATTCAAAACAATTAATGAACCAAAAATAATGAATAATGAACCAAAAATAATGAATAATGAACCAAAAATAATTAATAAACAGAAAACAATTAAACAAATTACCGAGACTATCCTTTTAAAATTAGGGGTATTACAGATGTGGTCTATCAAGAGAGCTATTACAAGTAATCCAGCCTATACTACCTATGCTCAGGTGATAGACGCCGCTCTACAACAGTATCAGTTGACTGTGGACATCAGACAGGCTCGTGGTGAGAAGCGGGGAGATAAAGACTCTACTAATCAGTCAGCTGAAAAGGGGAATGGCAATGGTCACCGGCAGAATGACAAAGGCAAGTTCCAAGGACAACAGCTTTGGAAGAAGCACAAAGGTGGTTCAGATGCTCACCGGAATGGGGCACCTATTCAGAGGCAACAGAATGGGGGACCACAGGCAGGACAGGGTCAGCCACAGGCTAACCAACAGAGGAGGCCATTTGGTATTTTCCAGGGTAGTTGTTACACTTGTGGAGAGTATGGTCATACCACCAGGCAGTGTCCTAAAGCAGTACAAGGACATGGACAGAGACAGTATGTGCAGTAGGGACAGAGGGCGCCAGTGCCTCTACCAGCTCCACAGGTTCCACGGATTCAGGGACAGACACATCTGGCTTTACCGGCACCGCCGCAAACTCAGGGACAGGCACCACGGCAGTTGCACTATGGCAGGGTATATAACCCCATGCCACAGGATGTTCAGGCACCTCAGACTATTGAGGGTAAGTTTCTTATTCATGGTTTGCATGGACGTGTTTTATTTGATACGGGTGCTACACACTCATTTGTAGTTAGGACTTTTGTTGCTTTGTCTGGGAT